TATATAATATAATAAAATCAAGTTTTTACAAACCTTCTTCTAAGATTGAAGTTGCAATCAATAAATTGCATTCATGAATTCTAAATCGCTTTAAAACTTCCTCCTGCTTTCTATGCTCCATTTCTAAATCTCTCGAATAACTAACATCGTCGTTAGTTCTTTCGATTGTATAAAGAGGTGATAAAAAATGCAAGTCTTCGTCATGTTTACATATTTCCTACGATATTATTAATATTTAAATTCACAATTATTTAAACAATAATTTAAAGCTATTGCAATAAGACTCATACTTACGCTTAGCAAATAAAATAAAACTTTTGCTGTAAAGCCTTTATCCACAAAAATTACTCCACAAAGTAAATCAGGATCTGTACTACTGCATGGGTAACGTTGCAATTTGAATGTTTTTCTGCAATTGTCATCGTTAAATTTCCAATTAGCGCCAAATCTTTTCAACTGCGCTGGTTTTTCCTGAGTTTTTGAGAAAGAGATATCTTTGTCACTTCTTGCGATACAATTCTTTAAATTAATATCTGGAAAAAATATAACTTATACTTTAAGATATATTATTGTATACTTTATACATTAAGAGAGATTCTTACCAGAGCTTGCCTTTTTTTCTAAAGTGTTAGTCTCCTTAGCATAGAAAGGAGTATAAATTTTCAAGATTTGTAACAATCGATGAACTTTTGGAGTACTATATTGATATATCCTTTCTTTCTCGGATAAACGTTGAAATTCATTATCGCAAATGGCACTGTAAGATTCATAATTTTAATATTATATTCCATAATAAGAAAATAGAAAAAAAAACTATGTAAAATACATATTAAGAGAAATATGCATTTATGGTAATGTGCATATACAGATATTTCTTAAAAATACAAACATGGCTATAATTGGCAACTTAGGGAAACTCAACTCAACTCAACTCAACTCAAATTTATGTCCATCAAAGCTAATTAGTATGTGGATATCGATATCATAATCATTATTATTAATTCTTACCGAATTTTTATAAAAACAGATGCCATCATATTTAATAGCAGATAATGCCTCTCATAAGGAGTTTTAATCTTCAATTTTTCTGTTAAGAATAATAATGCCAGAGCAGCGCGATCTGCACACCAAGGTCCAAGAGTTTCTAATATATGCAAAAAATCTTGCATCATCTCAAAGGGTTTTTGTATAGGATCAGGGATTTTTTGAATATCTTCATAAAATTCCTCGGTGTAAATCTCCATTGGATCATACCGATGATCGCGCAAAAATTCGATAGCATGTAGCACACAACTTTCAAGCATATTATACAAGTCTTTCTTTTCTCCTTTGTCATACTCCACAATGTACTCTCTTGGTTTTGGGCTATAACTACAAATAATTACCAGTTTCTTAGACATTTTCTCTATAATAAGAAAATTATTAAATTATTAAGCTTACCGTATTACTGAAAGGATATCATTAGCGGTTTCTACACTACATTGAAAGGCAGCTTCTACTTTTTCTATTTCTAGGCCCAATCTTCCAGATTCTTGTGTCAAGTTAAACACAGGTACCGCCAATCCAATTATTCTAGGAACATTGTTGCACAATAGAAAAGTTTGAAGGACAAACTTTAAATTGCTATCTTCGATAGATTTATGGCACTCATCCACTATGACTAGATTTAGATGACATGATAAAAGTTTGCTTTCTGATATTAATTGTGCGTAAACTTTTGCTGTTCCGACTAATACCTACATACAAAATAAAATGTATCGCAAAAAAGAAATACTTATAATAAATTTTATCTTAATCAATAATAAATATTTAATAAATAAATATCTTCTCTTACGTGAGATCTTTCAAAACTTTCAGCAAATTCCTTAAATATATCAGAATTGCATGCTAATACTTTCAGATCTGTCAATTGTTTTATATAAGTTCCTATTATTGTACATTTATCTTCATCATTTAATATATATATTGCTCGTTTTCCACCATCACTTATTGATCTATGTATATAAATGAATAAATTCGAATATATTTAGTAAATTTCATATTTATTTAATATTTAATTTTATATTTACTATATCTTATTCAAAATATGATATATAGAAAACACTTTCATATACTTCTATATAAAGATTTAAATTTTTACTAGAATGTGTGTGTATAATAGCACAAATATTTTTCTTAACAATAACTCTTTTTTCACATAAACATTTTTCTTAACAATAATTCCATAAATATAATTTGTTGAAACATAAATAGAAACTTTACTGTTACCTTCTGTTATTAGTAGCAAATTCTTGAATCAATTTTATAGCAAGAAATGTTTGTTCAGAATTTTTTCCTAAACAGGCAATTATGTTCTTTTCTTTTGCCGCATAAAGGAGTTCTACCTACAAATAATTATCAACAAAATACCAAAAGACAATTTGTATCATTATCCATAATACAGAATTTGTATGTAATTTCTAATATTTTATTTATGATTTCCTTATCTCTCAAGCATTGTTAAAAAAAACTTACCTGATATTCTCTGGGAGTAAAAGATTTTGTATAAACCTGATCATTTAGTGGAAATGCCATGGAATCTATAGTAGCTCCTTTATAATTCTTACAATAACAATTTTTCCTGATAACTATCAATAATTGCTTATTATTCAGTAAAATTGTAAAAAAAATTAAAGAAAACACAGTATTTGCTGTCAAATTGTCCGTTGGATAATTACACTGACAAATTTGAAATCATTGAAACTTAAGCTTAAGCTAGGTTAGACTACTGAGCATAAGGGCTCTTGCACACAAAACCATTGAGTAAAGAAGAACAGGAGGGAATGTATCGGTAGTAAGACTAGGCTTATCGCGAACGGTAGTACGCATCAGAGAGAAGAATGAGAGTCGCCACGCTGCCGTTTTTCGTGTAACGCTTTTTCTATGTCGTACACTAGCGTCACGTACGTGGCGACTCTCATTCTTCTCTCTGGTACGCATAGACATAGGTCTAGTTTCCATCGAAGCAATAAAATTAATGGCTTCTGCACACAGGACGCTGAAACGCTTGCCGCGCGGCAAAAGGCGACGCGGTAACCAATCAACTTATAACTTTTCCATTAGAGCGAAAAATTGATTGGCTATCGCGTAGTCTTTCGCCGCGCGGCAAGCGTTTCCGCGTCCTGTGTGCAGAAGCCATTAATTCGCACCTAGTGCGGGGTAGAATCAAATTTATACAACTAAACATAACACTATATATGTACGAATATTCAAGATGGCGACGAATTGGTCCAAGTTATTCCATTTGGCAAACCTGGCCACATACGGAACATTTTTTGTGACCATTTCCAATCTAAGGTAGATAACTCTCCTTATTCTTCCTTCATGGATGAACCGATGGTTAAAATTAGTTAAGTTCCGACTGACAACGTGTCGGGTTCGGACGTGTTTTTGCGTGCTGCGTATGTTTTTTGTCTGGACCTTTTTTTGGACTCCATCCTCTCTTAGAGGAGTTTTGCTTATATTCTACAAACCCATAAGAAACAATGGTGTATGGGCGACTAATTCTTCTTCTTCTTTCTTTTATGGCTGGTTGGGCATTAGTCGCCCATACACCATTGTTTCTTATCCCTTAGAGGAGCATTTAGCGATAAATGTGAGCTCAAAATACGGGTCTAGGACTCTAGTTTCTCTATTTAACTTCTCTCTCTTCCGAACATCGCTTCTAATGGTTTAATGTAACAACTATTGTAATTGCCCCAGTTCATATTTATAAGGTCTGTTTTTTTTTAACAACTATGAAAGTTTGATTTTTTCTCACCGCCGCTCCCTTCTCCTCCCTCTTTCCCCTTATCTTTAACGATAAACGATAGCTAGTACTTGTTTATTTATTTTATATATCTATATATACAGGGTGAGTCTTTTTAATCTTAAGACTCCTGAGTAGTCACCGTTAAGAACCGTTCTATTTGTAGTATTATATTTTTGGGCGAGTTTTTTAATTCATCGATTGATCAATCGCATATGATGCGCAAGTACAGCTAAGTCCTGTATTTGCTACATTTGTGCATCATGCAATTGATCAATCGATGAATTAAAAAACGCCCTTTACATTTTTTGAATTTCCTGAGACTAAGCGATGCGCTCCTTAGTTACGATGCGGCGATGCGTTGTTAAGGAGCGAGGGGTAAGAGGGGAGCAGTGAGCAGTAGGCGTGAGCTAAAAAATCCAGCCAAAAGTTACAAATAAATCTCAGTTCACTTATATGGTAAGTCGTTGGACAGGGTTCTTATTCCTACCGCAACATCTTTATTCTCATGTCGCTACCGTCAACTCAGAGTTTCACGGCGAGTACTCAGGAGCCTTAACAGGCAAATATCTCAAAACCTGTAAGTTTTAGAAGGAAACTTTTTAAACAAAAGTTGTTTGGTTCTGAGGGAGAAAAAAGATAGGAATATTAGTTAGATCTTGGGTGGCATTGTTAAGGTCATATCAAGGTCACATTGAATTTCTTAAATTGAAACCTCTATTTTTTATTGCATATCCTTATAGCCCTTGTCGAGACCTTTTCAAAACCCTATAATAAAGTATGTTTTTATTAAGTACTCTTTGAGTTATTTTATATTTTAATCTGACATATTTTGATATAAAAAATAAAATATCTCGTAAAATATTTAGTTTTCGATAATCTTACCGTAATACTTTTATGTACAGAATAATGAGACAAATCAATCAGTAAAAAAAAATTGTTTTTAAGAAAAACTATATAATTATTTACAATGTATTTTTTATTTTTTAAACTATTATTTGTTTTTTCTTACACTAATTGAAGGTCTAACTAATATTCCTATCTCTTTTTCTCCTCAGAACCAAACAACTTTTGTCTAAAAAGTTTCCTTCTAAAACTTACAGGTTTTGAGATATTTGCCTGTTAAGATTAAAGAGACTCACCCTGTAATTCAATGTTTTTCAAGAATAAACGAAAAATAAATAAAAAGCTTATATAGAATAGCTGATTACGGTTTCGCACTTTTCATTTTGCGATATTTATAATAAGTATTATCAATTATTTTCTTCCCTTTTTTTATATGCACAAAAGCATGTTACTAAAAATTTTAAGTGAAATACGCATTGACTGTACAGGACATAATTTATATAATTGCTTGACCCGAGCCAAATAATATATACGTTACACATCCTAAAGCATCGATAACAGCGATAAGTAAAAAGACAACATGCCAGCTGTGTGTCACATGTAAAATATATCCGGAAAAATATACACCGAGAAAACCTGAAAAACAATATATTACATTATTTGCTAATGGAATAGGTTATATTGATTACACATACCGGGTATCGCACCAACGGTATTCATCAGACCAAATACACTGCCGGAATGTTTTGGTGCAAGATCCGAAGGATTTACAGCAATAGCATTATTATGGAAGCCTGAACCACCAATAGTCAGTGCAAGACACAATACTGCGCTTTGAAAACTTTTCACTTTTGCTGCAAAGAAAAAGACAGAAAAGAAAATTGACTTATGTGATTTTACTTCTATCTTAACAATTATTATTAAAGCTCGAACATCAGTTCCCAAATATTAACAAAAAAGCATTGCAGTTAAATAAAAATTATAAAAAAATTGTACATAAAAATATGAATATGTATAAAAATTGAAATATATAATGATTTAATTATACCCTTACTCTTAACTTTTCTTAACTCAACTAATTAGTCTCGAGCTTTTATAAACTGGATTTTGTTCCCTAAACTATTATAATTTCGTTAATTCCGAGTCATATTAATGGAACTGAGCATTATTTCTATTGTGCAAGTTTTTTCTGTCCTTTCTATATTAATAGCACATGTAGAAAATGTGTTTTACGAATTGAATGGAAACCTACAAATAGATCCGATTTACCCGACTTTTAACTGCCAGGATTAAGAGAGTTCAACTGTACGAATTACAACACTGCAATATAATCAACATCTAAGCCGCTTTAAATTATTTACAATTTGCGACAAAATTCAAGACAGAATTTTATTTATAATTTTGTGACATATATTCTTACTATATCCTGATGATATGTATTTTACATATGTATGTACGTTCCATGTTAAAATATTTTCTGTATTACACAATACCTGAAATTAAGTTTCTGTCTCAAATTTTTTTTTAGATAGGCTTTAATTATTAAATGTAAACTTACTCAAAAATAAGAGACTCCCAATTTCAGTGACAAAACAGATCGTTTGAATTGTCTTGCGCGTCAAAGTCACAGAATAACCCGCTTTAATTATCCTTTCCGACATAACTTTTCCCAAAAATGTACAAGGTAGCATCGATAACCATGGTATAACATTGACAACCCAAATCTATTAAATTAAATTATTTAACATTACAGTAATAAAAGTTATTTAGTTTTTAGCTATAAATCTAACATATTTTCAACTCTATTTTTATTATAGAACTATTTTTGCAGATCTTTCTATAAAATACTACATTGTACAATACTTTATATGTTTAATAGATAAAAGCATATCTCAATTAAATAACTCTATAAATTGTTATAAACATTTTTGCTTGTACTATGTGTAGAAAACCACTTTTTGAGAAATAATACTCAATGAAAATTAAATAACAGAATTACCTTAACTTCGGGAAATATATCATGAAAATATGTAGGCATCCATGAGAGTAATACAAAAAAACAATTATTTTGACAAGCATGTCCAATAACACAGGACCTGAAAGTCATGATTAATAGTCACAAAGCATATAAGACAATCAATTTGAGATTGTTATGTTGTACTTACAAAAACTTATAATATCACAGTTCTTTTGCAATTTCCACAATTGAAAGATTCGGAATTGGATAAGCAAGAAATTTCTTAAAAACAAATCAAGCATTTCAGCAATTAAACTAAAGCACACATGTATAATTTGCAATGTATGCAAGTTTACGTTATTTTAGGGCACAATCATAATTCTCTAGGAAATATACATGTAACGCCTCTCCCTCTCGCCCCTCTCTCTTTTTCTCTCTCTCAGCAAATTAACTATGAAGAAAATTCGTTCTATCTTTTGTCTTCAAATTACAAAAAAAAACATATATATATATATGCGTGTGTGTGTGTGTGTGTATAGTTTCTTGCACCATGATTACCAGAAAGGAGACTTTGATAAAAGCTTGAACCAAGGCAAAGTGTAGCTAGTGTTTGACTTAGTAGAAATAGTTCTTCCCTTAAATGGCAGAATGTGGTAGCTTAATAAGGTTGTCCATGCCAAACTCATGCCCCCTATATCAATAAATTAATAAACATTACAAATGTATACAACTTTCAAACCAATCAGTTTTAATACCAATAAACTTAACAAAGAAATACAACAATAAACTCTCTATTAAATTACAACATATATCATCTTTTGTCTATGCATTCTTTGATTAATTTGATATTAATTTTGCTTTAACAAAAAAAAAACAAAAATCTAATAATTATAAGTAAAAATGAAAGATACTTCGGCAATACAATAGACAGTAAGACTTTAGTTTTCCTTTTTTTTTTTAATGGTATACCTTAACAGAGTCATGAGTTTTATTTTGTGAGCTAATTACGAATATTTGAGAATTAGTTTGAAAGATATAAATAGTTTAATCAGAGAGCTTCAGCAAATAAAATAAATTCTCTTGATATTTTCACTAAGAAAAAATCGATTCGAAATCTGTCGAAACGTCCAAAGACGAAAAATGATTTGCTAAATCTGGATAGAACAAAATTACATTTAGCTACATCAAGTTTCAAGCAATACACCAAGGTCCATATAAAAAAAAATTAATTCCACATATGTGACATAAATTATTATTATCATTGAAATATTAATTCTTAGATATATTTTTTCATTAATTCTTAAGATTGAAATAGTCTTCAAAATTGAAATCACATTTCGTATTTAATAAATCCTTGTTCCAAATTCTCTCAAAATTTGATGTATTTTCAGCAAATACTAGATTTGTTCTTTTTTTAACATTCTGTTTCTATTATATATAAAATATATTGTACCTAAGATTCGAAAGACAGTCATCCAGTTATAATTCTCCAAAAGATAAGAGCCTAATGATCCAGTGAGTAATGTGCCCAGAGCAGATCCTGATGTTAACAAACTAAAAAAGGAGGCACGTTCAGCCTCATGCAAGCGTTGACTAATCAAGCTAATCATGCTAGGAAAATGCATTCCTGTAAGTGACAAGTGTTGTTATCTTCAATTGTCATTAGTGCGGCAACATAATGTAGAAAGAACTACCTTGAAACGCTCCGTTTATCATTCTCACCACTGCAACAAGCAAAACGGAAGTCTGATCATTGGAAAAAAATTCTATAATTTCTGGCATGAAAAAGGTCGTTACCGACCAACCGAGGGCAGATATCCATAATACTTTCTGCCCGCCGATTTTGTCACTAATATAACCGCTAATCACTTGTGTCAACGTATATCCCCAGAAAAAGCTCGATAGTATAATGCCAGATTCAGGTTTTGACCAATGCTTTTCTTTACTGATGATTGGCATCAATAAAGGGATAGATGTACGTGTAGCATATATCAAACATGTGCCACACAACAACGACAGAAACCATTTCCGTTTCTCTTTCCTGAACGAAAAGAAATGACAGCTCTTATATTCTGATAATAAATATTCTGCTGTTCTATGTGTGATGTGCGAGTTTAACAATTGATAGATATTAAAATTTCTACATGCTGAACGATATTGTATATATTATCATATTGTAATTTTGAATGTGTGTCATATATGTATATAACAAAGATTTATTTTAAAAAATAATAATTGATAAATTATAAAACTTATACGATTTAAACATTAATCGACTTCTTAGTAATTTTAGAAATTGTTTCCATAATTATATTTCAAATCGATATATGAAATACATCGACAAACATCTATCTTTGATTACCTCGGCCATGACGATCCACTTCTGTCATCCAACGGAATACCCAGCGAAATTTGTAATTGCATTGTTCGCGGATTCGTTAAGCTCATCAACGCGATCGTTTTAACTTAATATCAATTTGTTAAAATATCGGCTTTTTTTCAAACATATTGACAATTTCGTAAAAACACATCGTGATTCTCATCGCGTATTTAGTAATCGATTAATGTACGGCCAGAGTCATCGAAACTTATTATTCTAAACATTATTAAAAACGTTCTTATTTAATTAAAATTTTAGTTTTAATAAAAACTTTCCCACCGGAATTTCAAGTATTATAAAAGCTATTTAAGTTAGATTAAGTATTCATTAACGGATATCCGCATCCTTTGGACATATTACCATGCCTCCTTTATATTTCTCATTACGATAACAATTTCTGTACTCTTTTCTAATGACGGTTTTATTTTATAATCACAGAAGAGAATAATGTAAATATTAAAATGTAACCTTAATCTTAATTTGGAAATGTAAAATATGGTATGTATCTACCGACTGACAGGCAACCGCTTTCCTCGCTAAACAATTCGGTTTTTCTAATGCTGTTTACATTATGCCAACTAAATTACGACATGTATTCTAAGCTCACATTTATTGTTAAATTTATCTTCGAAATTATAGCCAAATGCCGTCTAGTTTACATGAAAAATGTGGCCATGGGTCTGTTCTTTATTTGTTCTTATCTGTAGCGGGATTCTCTAAAGGTGCCTTTACATGGCAGCGTCGAGCGTTAAGCGTCTGCGCAGAATATTGTTGCCCAGAATTATATTTATTTCATTTATTTCATTTTATAATAGATGTGTGTGTGTGTGTTATTATTATTATTAATCAAAAATATATTATAAAACGTTATTACTCTGGCAGTAAATTAAAATAAATTTAAAATATAAATGCAGAAAATTATTTAAAGGAGCAGTATGTTATAAACATGCAGAAAAAAAAATTATGAAAATTATATCTCTTAATCCTTGATTAGATTCTAATAGAGTTTTCAAATGTAGCAGGTTTAATCGCTCTCAGAGTGATTAATGACGTCATTGCATCGTCTCTGCCAATAAAAAGCTTGAATTCATAGTAAAATATAGTGATTAATTGAACCGGGTTAACCCGTTCATTCGTAATAGATGTCCTTTTCTACGTGGGCATCGGCCCCAACTCCTTAAATAAAGGCAAACGCTCGGTCTATAGATATACTATGTCTATGGGAGCGCACGGGATCGTTCCGTTTCAATCCATGCGCAGTTCATGCGCGCATGGGAACGGTCTCCCACCACAACGCCGCACGCCGTATCATATCGTGCAGGGCTGCGTTCGAGAACGTCGCCCATGTGCACCGAGCGTCGTTCTATCTTTGTTATTTACTGAAAGTTGAACAAAGATAGAAATGCGATATGCTGCGTTCATGCGTGAAACGGAACGCACCCTATATAGAATTCTACTCATGACTCATCTTATCTGCCTCTCACTCTACTCATGCGGCTCCCCTTCTACTGCCATCAGCAGTCCATTCTATATGTTGATGGTACAACCGTGATTGAAACGCAGCCAAAGAACAGACCCATATTTACGTCATGAGTGCAGTGTAATGCGACTGATCACATTCGCTATACAGAAAAGTAAATAGAAAAAATCCGCTTTTTTTAGAAGAGTCTCAATATATTGAACTTATAAATAAATATCAATTTATATTTTTTATATCAATATGTAATAGTAGATAATCTTTTTAAGCGCCACTTTCAAATCAATTGTGGAAGTCGTAACATGCATATGCATATTTATTAAAAAATAGCCGGATTTTAAAAAATTTATATTTTAAATATCTGGAAGAAATCTCTTACCAATGGCAGATGTAAAGTAAATATACAACTCTACTGCCTTTGAAAAACTACAATTTAACATTAAGCAGTGATTTTACATGTTGCTTATTTTATCTTGCTTTTCATTTTCCTATCGTCTATTTGAGACGGATGAGGAAAAATTATTTTATTTTAGGCAAAGAGTGCAGACAACACGATATATAATTTAATAATTATGTATTGTGAGTATATTTCAATGTTATATACTATATCGCACATATGTACTTTTTACTCTTTTATATACCTTTTATAATTTTAAAAGATTGAAAGAGAAGTAAGAATTAATAATGTTTATTTTCAGATGAAGAATGTGCCAGAAAATGGCAAACGTTTTTATACCATCCCAATGTTTGTATGTACATTCTCAAATTTAAGGAACAGTTTCTCCATAATCCATTTCTGCAAGTGGTTACCTTTGTTGCGGTAACATCGTTATTAACACCTATTTTTCTCTTTGTTATATTTGCTATTATCAGTGCTGTATTTGCATTTATCGGTTTTATGATGATTCAAGGTGAGAAATAAATTTTTATTTTTTGTTGCAATTCGTTATACATTCTTGTAAGATATGTTATATTTTCAGTGACAGTATTGGCTATTGGTGCAAGTATTTTAAGCTGCATATTTTTCTGCATTGCTAGTACTTTTATAATGATAGGATTATGTGTCCTCTTTTCTTCTCTTTTTATCTATTATATATTATATTATACAAATCATGCATTTAATCTCTTAACCTATGGGAGAGCCTGATTAAGAAATTTAGAATATAGATTGTTATGTTCTTAATGAGATCTAAAAAAAATTAATAAAAATTAAAAGAACATCTTTACCACAAATTATAGATTTACTTCATAGATCTACCATAATCATTTTCAAACATACATACATGTATGCTTATCTTAATTATAGTATAAACGTATTTGTGTATTCTGAAAGTAATTAATTCAAAAACATCTAAATATAGAGGGATAATAGATTTAAATAAATACAAAAATTGTATGGTGAGCGCAACATATTTATTTTGACTGTATCCAAAGTTTGATTTTAGTATATTATTTTCGTGAAACAAATGTAGTTCCTTCAATAAAAATTGTATGCTTTGCAATAGCAAAAATAATCCTATTTATTAAAATAAACTATACGAATTATCAATTATTACAAGAATGTGTAATAAAAAACAAATAAACAAATGCATTAATCTTCAATAGTTTTATGATTAATCAATGTTACATTGATTATTAGTATTGAGCAAAGCTAAATTAAGATATAATAAACTTGCGACAAAAAAAATGCTCTGTTTATAAAGCAAAATGTATACAGAAGCTTATAACTATCATATTAGTTACAAAGTATTTAAGAATTTTTGTCTCTACCTTTGCTAGTAGACAAATATATTTCGTGCCACAAAGAATCTACTAATTTGTCATTAGTATCTTGATTTTCGTGACAAAAGTAATGAATATAATCACATTTATTTGAAACATCTGTATCAAGAGTTAAGAATTATTTATTATCCACAATTTTTCTAATTTCATTTAGAAAAAAGAGAAATTGCAATATTAAATATACTTTGAAGTGTGTAATGTGCTTGCATATATATATATATATATATATATATATATATATATATATATATATATATATATATATATATATATTATATATATATATATAAAATACACACACACACACAATGTATGTGTGTGTGTCATTTATTAAGTTATTATGTCACAAGTATTGAAAAAGGATACAGCCTGTTACACTATGTTTTGTAGCTTCATAATCCCATTGAATCCTTGTTAAATCTTTGTATAATTTTAATTTTTTGCTATAAAACAAAACAATATAAAACAAGATAATTAGAAAAACAAGAGTATATCAATATGGAATCATGATACATACTTTCCTAGCTCCAGCACTTGCTGATCTTGTAAGTTTGGTTTAAAAGATCTCAAATTGTTTCGTTTTTCCTCCAACTGTTTAATTTCTTGTAAAAACTTTTTTCTTTCTATTTCTAGTTTTTCCTATTAAAACAAGCATTTAGCAATAATAGAACATCCGAGAAGATTGGATGAAAAAAATATAGTTAATACACTAATGTTAATAAATAAATAAATAAATGTACAATATACTTACTAAATAAGCATTATGTTTCGATAATTCATTATTTTTACGCTTCAAATTTTGAGTTTCTGTATATTGCTTTTCTTCCATAACAGCTAATTTTGATGTTAATTCTTCAATCTTAAATTCATCTTCTATAAAAATATGAAAATTATATAATCCTATGTAGCTTGAACTTTGAAGATCTATATAATTTACGAGAATTTTGTTTATAATGTTACATATCGTGTAAAACCAAAAAAGGAAATATTTAAAGAAATATAATATACAAAATATTTATCAGGATATACACACAAGTTATAGGACATATGACACATTACAAATAAATTTTGAAGTTTATTACACAAATTATAAATCATTTAAAATAAACTTGAAGCCTCAAAGCAAAAAATAATATACAATAGCTTTTGCGATCTCTTTTCCATTTTTTTTTCCTTGTTAATCTAATCTAAACAATTCTTTATATTCGCGAATAATAAAGTTTACCATTAAATCGGTGTTGGTCTTGACTTCTATTAATTTTATCAACAATTTCTGCCTGTAACAAATTTTGAAGTACTAACGTATCTGTTTTTATATGCTTTGCTTTCAGCTGTATTATTTTTTCCATCATAACTGGCTCGTAAAAACACAAAACGTTTTTGATAAACTTATCAAAATGACGTGAATGACGTTAAAATTCAAAATTGCAAGGCTCAATTATCTATGAGGCATGAGGGCTTATGGCAGACACTGAATTCTATACATTATGGTGTAAGTAACAAGGTGTGCTACTGCGCAGGCATTTCTACTGACCAATAAGAGAGCGTGACAAGATTCCGCCATTTTGTATAATTGAAATGGATATTAAAACGAAGATTCGGGCAAGAAAGGGTTTTAATGAAAGATCTTTCGTGTGTAATTATAATTATGATGAATATATTTTTAAAAAATAATAAATACACATAAATATAAATAAACAAATATAAGATACATAAACACATATAAGAAACAATAAACATATAATAAACGATAGAGAATACATAACAGATAATAAACAATATAGAAGATATAATAAAAATGAAATTATTTTTTATTTTTGAATTTTTTTTTGTATTGCATTCACAAAACTCAACTGCTGCAAAACTGTGCATAACCTGTGTATCATGAGACTATTTCGTTAACATTGGCCGCGTTCAGCAGAGAGAGCGCTCAGTTATCGGTTGCGTTCCGTTTCACGCATTAAGCGCATAGATCGCCTAGAAATCTATAGTTCATGTAACATATATTATAGATTTCCAGGCGATCTATGCGCTCAATGCGTGAAACGGAACGCAC